ATCTCCACGCCCTGCGGGGCTGCTGGGAGGACCATGAGATGTCACTAATGCAGCCCGAGGGGAAGAACGAGCCGTGAGAGGAGCCCAAAGGTGAGGAGGGCAGAGGGCTCGGGGCCAGCAGCCCAGCTTGGTCGCCTGAAAGTCGCCATGCTCTGCCAGGCCATCTCCGTGTTTGGGTCTGCTGCCTCCTGTGACCCTAGAAGGACCCAGAGTGGCGTTGCTGTCTCAAGCTTCCCTGCAGGTGCCCTCGCGGGGGCTGAAGCCTCTCTTCACTGTTTACCTTCTGGCTCGGGGTTCTGGTCACCAGCTCTTCACCTTTAGGGCCCCAGCCCCCAACACAGTTCATTCTCTCCTCCTTCCCCCAGGCAGAGCTGGTTGGGTCAAGGTTCCCCCTTCTTCCCCGGGGCTCAGGGCAGCACCTCCAGCCCCACACAGGCTAGGGGCTAAACCTGGTTGGCCCAAGCTAAGCCTCCCCCCTAAGGATTGGCTTGCTCTTTGGCCAGTGGGATGTGCGAAAGAAGGCTGTGTATCATTCCCTGGCTCTCCTTCGTACCCAGGTAGATGTGAAGCTTGGAGTTACATTAATCATGAGACCAGAGAGGAGCTGGTGGGGAGAGAGCCTGGCTCCTTGAGTACTGTGCTGAGCCACTGAATGGACTCCAGGCCCAGTCTGCCTCCCACATGCCATTATGTGAAAGGATCAACTTCCCTCACCACGAAACCATTCTGAGGTAGGTTTTGTTACATGTACCCGAAGCCCTCAAATTCACACAGACCCTTGGAGAATCTGAAAAAAATGCTGAAACTTCTCTTGGGAAAAAGGCCCAAATACAGGATGTTGAGCAACCACTGGGGATGGGGGATGTTCCTGGTCCCCCATTCACCATCCCCAGGCCACCACCATATTAGGACGCCTGGTCAGGAGGTCTCAGTCTGGGACCTGGAAGCTGGTTCCTGGAAGGTCTGGTTGGGTTTGTTCTGGGCAGCAAATCTGGGCTGCAGGCAGAAGACAGGAAAGAGGGGCTGGTCTGTGGCACCTAGAGACCTCCCCTGCTTTCTCTCCCACCAAAAACCCCAAGTGCCTAGTGAGCATAGTGCCAGGGACTGGGGGGAGCTCAGAGAGAGCTAGCTGGTCTTGCTTTATTCTCTTCAAGAACAGGCAGGGGTAATCTGCCCCCAACCCATCCCTCAGGCAGGCTGGGGACTCTACTTCCCAGGGAGTACACTGGCTGACAGACTAGAGGTTCTGTGTTTGGTGGGGGTGGCAGCACAAACAGCCCCACATTTCATCACTACGTTTAGTCTCCAGGTTTTCTGGGGTCCTAACCAGGAGGGACGATGAGGGAGATTCCTGGGGTTCAGACAGAAGCCACATGGATGTCAGACTGTCATTTCTGGGTCAGGCTGGTTCCATCCTAGCTGGTCAGGACCATCTCTAAACCTCGAGGTGGACACAGTCCTAGGAGGGCTTTCACCCCAGGGGGCTTGGGGATAGGGAGGAGACAGCCCTGCCTTAACACCGCCCCCACTGCCACCCAGCCCCTTCCCCCAGAGGGCCTCAGACTATTCATTGGCTGTCTGGTCACCACCTTCCTGGGAAGGCTGAGCAAACATCAACAACAATGAAATTCAAAATCACACTGGAAGCCACTTTGAAACATCTAGAGACAGGTCTGTCAGCAGCACCTGGTTTGTAGGGCCTGACTCATCAGGTAACCTCACATGAGCAAGTGCAGAGGAGCCTAGAAGCAAGGTTTGAACCTGCTTTTTAAAATACAAACTGTAATGGCTTCAGTGCTAGTCAAATGTACTGAGAAAGCAAGTTACATTCCAATTAGACACATCCAATTTCGTCTCTTAGACCACAGAAATGAAACAAGATGTATTTCACAAGATGTTTCAATATGTTTTCAGTCCTAATTATACATCTTCAATTAAAAAAAACGCCTCACCATTGCATTATATAACACAGATCATTAAATGCCTATCACAGTCCATGTCCAAGTCTGTCAATATAAAAGATGGTTGACATTTAGCCCGCAACTTTTAAAACACTTGAGAATAAATTATGAACCAAACTTACTCTTCTTAATGACATGTATAAAGTTCAGCTCTTTCATAAAAAGGATTCAGGAATATAAAGACAAAGTTACCAGGAATATTAAGGGAATAGAAGTCCTTCAAAATGGTCAGTTCTTGTTTCGATTACAGTGTGCATTTTTAATAGAGTTGGTATAAAGTGAAACTCTAAAAAAAAGAGAGTAGGAATTTAAAATAAAGTGGAGCATCCTATTTTCAGGGTCACCAGAACCACGGTGAGATTTGTCTCTTAAACAATGACACTTAGTATCTCTGTAGTTCCATGAATACTTTTGAAGTGTCATATTAAAACCAATCTCGTGGCCTTGAGGCAAAGAGAAGCAATTAGTCTTGGAGTTGTGAATAAATAAAAATCCATTTATACACCCGTCCTTGACATGTACCTTGCAAATCTTAGAAACTTCATCTAGTGGGAAAAGAAATGTTAAATCATGAATACCAAAACTAATCACATCACCATGTGGCTTCCTAAAACAGTTTAGTTTATACCAATCTTTTAAGTATTAATTTATATGTATATATTCATCCATACTGAACACAAAACAAAGAAGCTCTAGCAGGCACCTAGGAGAGAGGGGGAGAGGAGAGGCACTGAGGGCCACAGGGCCATGACCAGCAGCCTTTCAGTGGGTCTGTGCTACTCAAACAGGAGGCTGGTATATTTTCCCTCCTACATCCCCCCACTTTCCTGCAAGCACTAGACAGCCTGGGAAGGGAAAGGTTCAATCCAAGAAGTTCAGGGCACCCATACAGGCCCGTCTCTATTTGTAAGCCCAGCAGCAATTAAGGGAGAACTCAGGAGGTCAAAGTATTTGGGTACTTGCTTCACTTCTTATTTGGGTCCGTCCCTTCAAAGACAGGGAGCGGGGGTGCTGCAGATGGGGCTTTGCTATTCCTTGGCCTGGAGCAGCCATGGAGAGATTGGGCAGACAGCCATGGTGCCCAGCAGACCTCCCAGGACTGGCCTGGCCAGGGCGTGGAGAGCAGTGGGGTGCTGTCAGGCCGGAACTGGAAGCCGGAAGCCCGGAGGCACTACAGTGTGGGAGTCAGAGTGGGCAGCCCACGGGCCGCGCTGAAGCCTGTGCACAGATCCCTGACCTACTTCCAGGGCCCCTCTCAGTTCTAGGAGCCGCTAAAAATCCATAAATTAAGGAAATTAACTGATGGGGCCTGCGGCATCTTTGTAAGCTATTTAAATCTATAAATTTACAACATCTTCTGCATATATCAAGTAATTGAACTAACTGCAGGGATGTAACTTTAATGAGAAAATTTCCCCTTTCTTCTGTAGTTCGAGCTTTAAAATAAATAAATAAATAAAGCCTCCCCTTAGGAGGAAAGTTTCTCCTTATTCCCGCGTGGAGAAGTTACAGAAGCGCAGTCCCGGCGCCCTTTCCACGCGGGAGACACCCTAGTCCAGGGAAGCGGGCCCCTCTTCGTCCTCCTCCCCGCCCGCGCCCTTCGCCCCCCGCCCCGGGCCAGCCTCGAGCATCCCCCGCTAGAGGGCGTGCAGGGCCGGCCGGAGCTCGGGGAGGGGGCCCCGGCGCGGCTCCGAGCCGGAGCGCACCCGCCCTCCAGCACAGCCAGGTTCCGGCCCGGGCGTCCCCGAGGCCAGACGCGGGCGCAGTGCAGGCAGGGCGCACGGGAGGCTCCCGTTCCGTTTCCTAGGAGCCGGGAATGTTCCGGGAGCAGGAAAGGGGCACGGGCGGGGCGCACGGGCAGGAGGAGACAGAGGAAGGGGAGGAGGAGGTGGGACAGGAGGAGGTCAGGGCGTCCGGCCCGGGGGTCCGGGAGGAAGCCACGGGCGCTGGCCTAGGCGCCGCGGGGTGTTCTGGCCGCAGACGTCTCCGTCGCGCCGCGCGCGCAAGGGAAATGGCGCGTCTGGCCGCGGGCGGCTGGCCGGGCGCCCCCCGCGTGCCCCTCCCCCGCGGCGGCGGACCGCGTGCCGCAGACGTCACGGGCAGCGCTGCTCCCGGGCGAGGGGCAGTCGGGGCCGAGACCCGGGGAGGAAGGCCGGCGAAGGGGGGCAGCTCTGGCCCCCGGCTCCGCTCCCGCTCCGGCCGAGTCGCAGCCCAGTTTCTTCCCAAGTCCCGCCCCTACCCTCGGGCGCCGCGGCGGCGGCTGCTCTTCTCTTTGTAACCGAAGAGTCAAGAAATGTGAGAAACGTGCCCTGTGTTACTTATTTGGGAGCCGAAAATTTATGCCCAGCTGAAAGTGCCCGGGGAAATATTACATCAGATGAAATGACAATGATTAAAATCAGCTTCTCCCCCGCCCCCTCCCGAGCCCGGAGGAGGCCCGGGCGCCGCGTGGCCGGCCTGCGGGGGGCGGGGGACTGGGCGGCAAGGGCGCGCGGGGGCCCCGGCGCACCGCTCCCGGGAGGGTCCTGGCTGAGGCCCCGGAGGAAAGGCGCGGGCACCGGGAGAGGCGGGCGGGGATCGCCCAGCGAAAGGAGGGGAAACAGCGCGTTTTTGTCGCCGAGCGCGGCAGGCGCGGGCGCGCGGAGCTAATTGCGACTCTAATCCTCTGCCCCGCGGCGCAGCCGAGCCCCGAGCCAAGAGTCGCCGCGCGCTCCCGCTCGCGCTCGCCGCGCTGGGTAATTTGGAGCCGGATCGCTGCCCTTTGCGTGCGGCCTCGGCCGCAACGGGCGGCGGGCTACTGACTGGGGTGGGGGGCTGATTTTTCACCAGCAATCGGGGAAGGCCGCTGGAAAGAGAGGAGGGAGGAGAGAGGTGGGAGCGGCGGGAGGGCAGCCGGAGAGCGGCGCGAAGAGGAGGAGGAGGCGGCGGCAGCGGCCGCGAAGAGGGGAGGAGGCGAGGGGAGGGCGGGGAGGGGAGGCCCCGGCGCGCCGCGCCGCGAGGGGCCGCGCGAAGCGGGGGCCGGGGCGGGAGGGGTGGGAGGGTTGGGGGCGAGAGCGAAAGTAACTCCCGGACGAGACCGGAGCGAACCGCGCTGCGAGCACAGGCGGCGAGGCTGCGCCCGACGCCGGAGACCGGCGGCTGCAGGGGGCGGGGGCTGCGCCCGAGCCGGATCTGCCGCTCCGGCTCCGAGGTAAGCCCCGCGCGGGCGGCCACCGCTCAGCGCCGCACACCCCTGTCCCCAAAGTGGCAGCACCACTGAGAAAGTCGCCCGGCCGTGGTTCGGACCTGGGTGGGGGTGGCTGCTTTGTCCCGGTGCTGGGCGGCGAGGTTTGGCGGCGGGGGCACCCAGCACAAAGGCCTGGCGCGGGAGGGGAGGGTTGCCCACGTGGGCTGGCTCTGCCCCAGGTGGACCCTCACCACGCGGGCCGGCTTCCTGCCCTGCGGGGCGGGATTTGGGGTGCTGCGGGTCCCGACACTCGGGCCTCAGTGCAGGGCCAAGCACCCTGCAGGGCCGCCGAGTTTCCGGGGTCAGACCCGGGCTCACGCAGCTGGGGCTTCGGGGCGGCCAGGGCTCAGCTTGGCGCCCAAATCAGAGAGAGAAAGTCACTAACGGGACAGATGTGCGTCCTCTGACGCCCACCCCGCGAGTCCGAAACGGGGTGGGCGGAGCAGGCCCTGGTGGCTGTTCCAGGTGCGTAGGGCTTGGGGTCCCTGGCCGGCGGCGCGGACACACGACCGCCGCCTCCGGATCTCGCTGCCCGCAGGTGCTCCCTGACCTGGACACGCGCACTGGGCACACACTCGCAAACACCCCGTCCGCGTAGCCGGAGAGACTTTGCGTCCTCCCGCGCCCCCCACCCCCGACTGCAAAAAGATGAGCTTCAAGTTTGCACTCTGTGTCTCAAATGTGCATGAAGGAATTTAACTGCACGAGTGAATAACAGCATTAGTTTCAATTAATTTTTTTTAAATCCCGGCAACAATAAACTTTGAGAACAAAAGCGCTTTTACGTCCTTAATTAGGCGAGCTTCCCATCTGTGGTCTCTAAGTGTCTGCCTCTTGATTTAACTTTGTCCTCCGCCCCGCCCCCGCCTCACACCCCTCCCCACCCTGCCTGGCGGTGGGGGTTCCGTGGCCGCCCCCACCCCGCGGCGCCGCCTGCCTCGGCCCAGCCAGCTCCCGCCGCCCCGAAGTTCACACCGGCTGGCGGCCTCCGCGGTGAGGTTGTCGCTCACCAGGTCGCCCTCCCGCCCTGCTCCAGGCCCACCCCCTGGACAGTTCTGTAGGCCCCCTGGCACTCTTGCCCAGGGCGCGGAGCTGAAGGGAGCTCGCGAGGCGCCTTATGTTTACCTTTTATGGTTAAAATAACAGCTTAGCAAAGAAGCGACTTCACGAAGAAGCGATTTAGTGAAATCGTCTCAAGCTGCCGCAGCTCAGCCAGTTTAATCACCCCCAGAGAGCTGAACAACTGCGAGCACAATGGGACACAAAATCATTTTGTGTGTAAATGAGCGTGGCATTCTGCTCGCTTCCCTCTGCTCTGGCGGGCGGGGCTCAGCGGCGGGCGGGCGGGCGCGGGACCCGGGGCTCCCGCCGCAGCTCAGAGAAGCGGGTCAGTACCCAGCCAGTTTGGAAACCCACAGGCCCTGAGCACACACCACCGCCAAGGCCCCTGCAACAGGCGGTTTGGCTGAGCCTCTGGAGGGCCGTGGCGTGCTGGGCCGGGTCGTGGGTTTGATGCTGGACTTGGCGGAATGAACTTGTGTCTCTCACTGCACCCACTTTTCTGCTTCTGACCTCAGGAGCGGTCTCGGGGAAAGGGTCGTTGTCCAGCACAGATGCGTTTGTCCGAGGCAGCACTGGAGGTTCGGGTCGAGGCGAAAAGCCTGGGGCTTCCAATGGTGAGTTTATGGTTGGCCATGAACATCAGGTTGTGCTTGCAATGGGAAAGAGGCTGGGTGAGAACAGGATCGAGCAGCTTTTGTGATGCGCACTGGTGTTAAATGTCACTTTTGAGTAGTGTCCTGGTAGTAGAGAAACACTGTGCAGTCTGCTTTGATAGAATTTCCGTGGAATTCCTTCCAGCACAGTTATCCTCAGCTGTGGCTTTCCTTCTGACTCCTCCCCCAGAGAGCCTCCCAGGGCAGGAGAACCCATCCTGAGATCTGTTTTGGTTTCTCAGAACTTCCTTGAGACAAATGACCTGCTTTTCTTTTTTCAGCTTTCCAGAACTCAGGAATGCCCAAAGCAGTAGACCCAGAACAGCCCCCAGTGAGGGTAACATAAAACATCACTGTCTGCTAATGACGGCCCCCACCCGCATTGTGTCATGTCAGGAAACTTGCCAGGACATTAAGGGCAGAGCAAATCCTAGGAGAGTAACCTTAAATTTGCAGGATTTGATGCTCATTGGACCTTAGTCCATGTTTTTAAATTGGTTGTTGAATTTCAAGGCACAGAGTCACCCCTGAGGGAGGTCACTCCCTCAAGACTTAAACCTGTGAGAGATTAGTTCAAGCTAGGCTTGTGGAAGTAAGTGTGTGTGTGTGTGTGTGCGCGCGCGCGCGTGTGTACCCGTGTGCTTTGCTGTGCAACCCTGCCCCATGAGACAACCCCAAGTCAGTGTAAGGGGCTGCATAAACCTGCCCTTCTCCTCCCTCGCTGCAGAGCACCCGAGGGCAGCTTCTGAAAACAGGGACAATCTTATTCCAGGTAGATGTAGCACAGAGGAAAGTCACTGCGTGACTGGAGAGGAGCAGGAGAGAGGGTCCATTTGCAAGCTGCTGCCTGTTTCCATCGGGCCAGGTCTCTAATGCCTTGGGGGTGGGGGAGTGTGATCCCAAGGGAGTCTGGAGTATATTAGGCACAGAAAAGGCCATTTGGGGGCCTGAGGGAAACTGCAGGGGTGCAGACTAGACAAAGACAAGTTTCCATTCTTAGGAGTCATAGGGGAGAGGTGGCTTCCTAACTGACTTCTGCTCTTCCCTGTACCCTGGCTGCTGCTAAAGGCAGCTTCTCTGTGTCTGGCCACTCGTAAGCCACATCTTAATGCTGTGGGGACCATGTTCAGAGAGGTTCTGGGCTCCCTTGCCCATGGAGGATGGGGGATCCTCGCTTAGCCATGGTCCACAGGGTTCTCTGCTGATGCAAAGAGGAGACACGCTTGGTAACATGGCTCTAAACCAAAATACCAGGAAAATCAGATTTGTTCTGAAACATTTTGGGGCAATAATAGTGAGCATATGTTTCAGTACTGTCATTAGCTGAATTAGCAGACATGGAGCTGCCCAGAAAACTTGTGTGTGTGCACGCATGTGTGTGTGTGCGTGCAACCTCCTATGGCCCAGAGGCTTGCTTTGGGGTGTGGGGACAGGACTGTGGCGGGTGGAATCTGGAGAGGGCTGTGTGCTGTTGTATGGGATCCCAGAGAGCCTGTACTGACAATTCTAAGCGTCTTTGACTACGTGGGAGGCAACGGCACCCACTTAACCGAGGAGTAAGCCTTCTGGTTTTGTCCGTGCTTCCTGCAGGTACTCTGGGCAGCGATGGAAGCCTAGATGCCTCACCGCAAGGAGCGGCCGAGCGGGTCCTCGCTTCACACCCACGGCAGCGCCGGCACTGTGGTGAGAGCCAGCAGGGTGGGCCGGTCAGCGGCTGGTGGCCCTCTTTGCCCTCTTCCTGAGCGTCTGCTGCCCTTCCTTGCAGCCACCGCATTCAAGAGATGGCTGTTGACTGGCTGTAGGATTATGTATTTTTTGAAACAAAAATGCTCTTAATTTGATGTGAAATTTACTACATGTATAAAACTCAATGCCTTAGGTGCTGAGGAAGTCACTAATTTAGAGGTGTCTCGTTACTGAGACAAACTTGCAAAAACCCCTGAGTCCCAATTCACAAATTGGTGATTCGTTTGTCAGGGGATATTTCACATCTAACACATAAGCCTGCGACCTTTAATTAGAATTTTGCAGTTTGTTTTATGCCCCTGGAGGCTGACACCTTGAAATCTTTTTTTTTCTTGATTTCTTATTGCTAATAAGCATCTTTCTTTTTCCCTCTGGTACTTTGAAGAAAATGATGCAAATACACTTAATTACAGTGGTGGCCATAATTTGTCAGCTGAATATGTGATCAGGCACAGGCAGAAGTGATCTGATTAGATCTGTGATCACATTAGAAATAAAGGGAGTACACAGCTATCTTGGAGAAACTCTTGTTTCCACCTGTTTCCAAATCCAGGAGGGAGGAAGCATGTCCCGGTTGTCTCTTACTCGGTCGCCTGTGTCTCCCCTGGCTGCCCAGGGGATCCCACTGCCAGCTCAGCTCACCAAGTCCAATGCACCTGTGCACATTGATGTGGGTGGCCACATGTACACCAGCAGCCTGGCCACACTCACCAAGTACCCTGACTCCAGGTAAGAGCCAAGACCCTTGTAGCACCAGGTGTGTGATGGTGACTGGCTGCACCAGCAGCCAGCGGGGCCTGTCTCCTCTGCTAGTCGACATGCAGGGCTCTCCAGAGCCCATCCACTCACTCTGACCTGGAGAACTAGGATTTGGGAGGTCGAGTCTGCCTGTTGAAAGCTGCTTTGAATGGGGTCTTGTGACCCTAAGCTGGTAGCATTAGCAGTGCTAGGTGGAGCTCCTGACCCACTGGCAGAAGCCACTTATTCAGAGCCAGCCCCACCTGAAACTGGCCAGCAGCTGGCGGGGGAACCTCACATACCTTCAGGTTCTTCTTAAATGAGACTTGGTTTTGGCCTGCAGAGAATCACTTGCAGGCAATGCTATGTATTTCTTGGAGCCATGTTGGAGAGAAGTATTTAATCCTGTTTCCTATTCTAACTCTTGGAAAGTAAGGGGAGAGAAGAGGGGGTGCTGCAGTTTGCCATTTTGGGTTGGGTGGCCACTGTTGGACCTTGTGGGTGGGTGCATGGGGGTGGTTGTAGTGACTGGCTGGGAATTACAGGCTGTTTCAGGACATTGGGGCTGTGGATAAGCATGAGCCTCATGCCTCTATCAGCAGATAAAGTGTCTCTGACCAGGACCCTCCCAATAGGGTGCCTTGCACTTTTGCCAAGCTCCTGGTGCTCCTGACTCCTGTGCCCATTGTGGGAGATGCTGGGCACCGGCCTACTCCCCAACATTTCTTCCAGGGGCGGGCCTGGCTTCCCATTGGCATAGCAGTACCACTGACCCAAGGTGGGACGGGTGGGTCTCTGTGAGCATGTCCTGGGGATGATGCGACATTCTGCCTTCTGAGCCCATGACTGCTTGCTCCTGGCCCAGCGAGGCGGCCACCAAAGGCTGAGGAGCAGGAGGGCCAAGGCGGCAGGGCATTGCCCCTGTTTTATACATTTAAAAAGGCAAGAGGAGTTAATTAATCCCCCAGACACTGAGGGATCATCTCTGGGAAGCTTTCCTGTTGGGCTACATCATCTCCGGTGTGGTAGCTCAACATGGAGGATTCATAGTACCAGGGAGGCGGCTGCTTTGGAAGCTTGTGGAGTGCTCCCATGGAGGCAGGAGTGCTCCCTGGAGGTGAGTGCAGTGTCTGGGTCAGAACTGACAAGTCTGGGGTACTGCTGGCATTTGGGACGTCATTCCGCCGACCCCACAGAGTCTGGGCCTGGGGCACCCGTGAACTTGGACCTGTGAGAGGCCATCAGCCACGAAGCCACATTGCAGTGTTGGCCTGCACGCTCACTTGCAGAGCTCTCTCTAGAATGGGAGATGGATTCTGCTTATTTAATTTCAATTTTGCCTTCTGCGGAATTCCCAAGTTGTTTGAGATAGATCATCCCTTAATCGGTTGACGGTTTGTGAGTGAAATTCATAAATCCCTTACTCACAACCTCTGGGAAGAGTGTTTCCTGAAATCAGATACTTGCCTTTCTGGAGTAATCACAGCCCAGGGCTGTGGGAATGGCCTCCTCATTCTTGCCTCCAGGCTGGTGCCTGGAACCTCGGGACAGGGGTGGCCACCCCCATCCCAGACTGACAGCGCAGCTGGTCCATCATCCTGCCCTGCAGCAGGCTGGGCCCTCTTGCTGGGGATCTGAGGCCCCTGTGGCCCTGTGATCTGACATGTGGGGCCCTCAGCAGCAGAATGTGCCCAGAGGGGGTGGCAGTTTGCATTCTTTCCTGGGGGTAGGGCTCAAGATGTATCTGTTGCTCTGCTTGAATGGCTTCTGGCTCAGGGGAGAGCTGCTCCCCAGGCCTGAAGCTTTGGCCTAGAGGCCAGGGGTGGCATGACTTGTAGGACTGTCCTGGGACAGTGGGTCAGGCCGAGCCTGAGAAGTGGGTTGGGCAGCTGTGCCGGCAACAGTCTCTCAGATCTGTCTCGTCCTTCTTTGAGTGACTCATTAAAATTAGAAAACTTTTTCACCCATTCTGGAAACAAAGATCAATCCTTCATCATGTGGCACTGAGGCCTGAGTCACCAGGAGATGGACAATGCAGACTGTAAGGTCACCTGGGAGTTCTGGATTTTAGCAAAGTCCCACCGTAGGCAGTGCTGGGCCCACAGAACTATGACTGGGCTTCTGGTCCTTGGCTGGCAGGGTGGCCCTAACACGAGGAATAGGTGCCACCACTGGTCATCCCGGAACAGCCATCAGCCCTCGCCGACACAGCTGAGGGTTCTGTCCGGGGCTGGGAGTGGATGCTCTGGAGCTGCCACCTGGGTCCGTCCTGCCTGCTGGCATGGTCCAGCCCAAGGCTGCCTCATGGACGGGTATGAGCAGGTCAGGGCCTGCGGTGAGGTGTAGAGGGCTCCAGCCTGTGGGACCAGCAACTAGCTGCTACTGTCAACTAGCTGCTACTGTCTCAGTCCGCCATTGGCGTCCATCCTAGCTGTGGAGAGCAACACATTAAGAGGGCCAGGAGCTTCAGAACTAATAAAATGTTCCACTGAAGCATCCAGGAAAATAGAGTCAAAGCTTTAAAAAAAGAAAGAAAAAAAAAAAGACCCATGTCAACTGGGGTCAGACCTGGCCAGCTTATTTTATGGAGGACATTTGAAGTTTGAAGCCCAAACCCTGCAGCCTCCCTCAGAGGTGGCCCAGGGCAGGACCTGACTCCTCAGATCCTACAGGTAGCTGGGGGTCCCTTTGTGGTGACTGTCCTTGCCTTCCCTCAACCTGCTCACATCCTTGGCAGCCTCAGACCCTGAGGGCATGGAATGCCTTGGGCCTGTGAAGAGACGCTGAACCACAGAAAGACCTAGAACCAGCCAATCCTGATATAAGGTAGATTGACAACCTTCAAGCCTTGAACCAATAAGACAACCTAGAAGCCAGCCAGCCCGGGTGGACTGGGTGTCCTCTAGAGCAACAGGATGGTCTGGAGCCCCAGCCAGTCCTAACCTCAGAGAGATGTGCACCACAGCTAGGCCTAGAACACTGTTGCTGTACAGAGTGTTCGCACTCAGCTAAGAAGGGTGGAGGAAGTTCCACAGGGAGACTAAGGCTTCAGACTTGCCGGCTTACCTGTAGATATGGTTTACGTCTTCCTGAAGATCCCACGTGTGGACCCTCAGCTGTTGGCCATCACTCTGACATCTGAATGCCCAGGCACTGCTGAGACCAGGTCTTGGGAGCTTCGATGGCTGTGTCCCCCAGTACCATTGTCACCAGGCCTGGGGGCTGGATAGGACTCAGTGGCCCTTGGATCCCTGTGATGGGTTGTATCTGGGTGGCTGCAATGCCGGTCCCACAGGCTGGAGCCCTCTACACCTCACCGCAGGCCCTGACCCGCTCATGCCCGTCCACGAGGCAGCCTTGGGCTGGGCCATGCCTCAGAGTGGGAATAGGTGACTGCATGGCCCCTCCACACCTGGGTGGACCCTCATGGCAGTGCCTGGACTGTGCCAGGCCACCAGAGTGGAAGATGTGTAGATGAGAAGCCCCGAGACAGGCTTTCTTTGGGGCTCTAACCCTTCAGCTTCTGCCCCCCGTGTGGGCCCTGACACGCAATGGCAGAGACAAGGCAGGGCCTCAGGAAGCGTGGCCTGGAGTGGACAGAGTGGGCTGTTGGGGTGAGCGGAGCATCCCTGGAAGTCCTTGCTGGTGGAGCTGGGGGTCAGAGGTGGAGGCACTGGCTGGCGCAACCTTTCCCTAGGTCTAGCTGGGGACAAGTGTGTGGCCCTGCCTGCCAAAGAATGTCTGGAGGTGCTGCCAGCCTCCCTTCTGTTCCCAAGTCAAGCTCTTGGCTGTCCCCACCCCTCTTTAGGGCTCTAACTGGCCATAGCTGGGCCTGGGGTCTGCAGGGGAGTTAGCCAAACTAGAGCCTGGGCACTTGGCTCAGAGGCCAGGCTCGTCCTCCTAGGATTGGATGGGGATAGGCAGCAAGGGGTCCCCCAAGAGCTTCCTGCAGGTCCTGCATTTCTGTCAGAACCACTGTCCTTCAGAGGACAGGATGTTGGGACCTTTCGCCCCATAGCCTCCTCCCAGCTGTGCACCGTCTGTGGCACATGTGTGCATGTTCAGGCACTGTGGTGTATGTGCATGCACTGCCTCTGTGGTGCATGTGCCTATGGTTACGTGCTATGGTTCAAGTATGGCACACATGCTCACATGCTGTCTCTTCTGCCTGCCTCGGTTTCTCCCCAAGGGCTCCCTTAGTGACTGTGAGTTGGTTGCGTGTACACAGCTGTGTCTCTGTTTGGCTCATGCTGGCTGCTATGTCCTTGGCCTGGTGTGTCTGGGCTGCCTGTGATTTGTGTGTTGTGAGGGAAGTGCCATGTGACCCTGTGCCTGTGGCCCAGGTGTGCCACATCTGATGCTTGTTGTGTGGGTTGGGCAAGGTGGATGTGAGTGACTGCCTTGCCTGGTTTCCATGGTGATCACCCGGTGTGTGGCTGTGGGCTGGGGCGTCTGGTGGTCGGTGGGAGTTTTCTGGGTGGGTCTGGCTGGCAAGGGTTCGTGTACATGGGGCAAGGAGACTGTGTCTGTCTCCTGTAGTTTTCTAGCCCTGTAACATGTGTGGGCAGGCAGGCATGTGCAGCTGGGTGTGTCTCTCTCTGGCTGTGGCTTGTGAGTGTAGGCAGTGTAGGCAGGGTATTATGTGGCATGTGCTACTCGCTGCACTGGTGTCCTCTCTGGTTTGGCTGCCCTGCTGCATGTCAGGCCTGGCACAGTCCCAGAGTCATGCATAAGCCTCCTCGCCCCTGCAGCAGGGTGGGCCCTGTAGGGTGGGACAGGGCAGGTGGACGGGCTCTTCCATCAGACACCCACCCTCTGTCTCTTCCAGAATAAGCCGCCTCTTCAATGGCACCGAGCCCATTGTCCTGGACAGTTTGAAGCAACATTATTTCATCGACCGGGATGGGGAGATTTTCCGCTACGTCCTGAGCTTTCTGCGGACGTCGAAACTGCTGCTCCCGGATGACTTCAAGGTAAGTCCACAGCCAGCAGCTCCCCTGCGCTGTCTGTGCGGTGGCATTACACAGGGGACGCTGTGACTTAATAAATGGACCCACTGTTGTCATGGCAACCGTAAAAAGTTAAACGATGAAGCCGAGGGCTAAATCAGTTTTTCTAAACTAATTTTGTTTTCTCACATTTTTAGCTTATTTATCAGGGTGTAACAACAATTAGGCAGCGGCACTTACCCTGGCTTCACATTTGCTGTGTTGAAGGCCTGTTGTGCCCCAGAGTCCCAGGGGTGAGAGGTTCCTGAATCTGTCTCTTGTTGGCAGTCGGCAGGGGGAAAACCCTGATCCAAATCAAACACCCTTTAAACCAAAGGTTACCCCCAGATCTCGGGGCGAACCTGTGCCTGGTAGCTGACCTGGTTCCCAGAGTCCTGCCTCGGTGCTAGGCCCTCTCGGGATCCTGCAGGAGGGAACCTCAGGCCTGGGCTACCTCAGCTTGAACCAGCAAATGTCCGTCCTTCCTTCCTTCCTCCTGGCACCCAGAGGCCCAGTGGCCCTGGGCTGTTTTGTCCTCCATCCATGTGAGTTAACGGGTGCCAACAACTGAACTCAGGCTGAAAATACAGCGAACCACAGGCAGATGTGGGTTCTGTCCCCAGAGCACTGACAGTCTAGTGGGGAGACAGATGGTGAACAAAAAGTGCTTGGGTGTGCACGGGTGTGAGTAAAGGGGCTCTCAAGGGTGCCTCCCAGCCTGCAGCTTGTGTCCTGAGTGCATGGCCAGAGGCCCAGGAGAGGAACGGGCTGGAGAGGGTACCCCAGGAGACCGCGTGGAACTGCTGGTGGGGTATTGGGTGGAGACATGTGGGGCTACGAGGAGGGATGTGGGGGTTGCTGTGTGCAGATACCGCTTAAATCCTCAAGAGCAGAAGCCCAGGAGGGAGGAACAGGATGGGTCCCTGAGGGACAGCGGGCCTGAGGAGGGGCTAGAACTGAGGCCTCCCTGGGGCCTTTCCAGAGGCTGGGCCAGCCGGTGGAAGGGACTTCGGCCTGGGGGTAGGCCCTGCTTCCGCGGTTGGCTCCCTTGCCTCCCCCACAGGGCTCCTCAGTCTCACCACGTGGCCCTGAGCCGAGTCTCCGTGAGTGGGGTGAGTGATGGGTCCCCAGCTACTGAAGGCTGAGGCAAGAACGGGTGGGCGTGTGTCTGGGGGACAGTAGGGGTGAGGTGGCCCGGCCTGGGACTGGGCAGGCACCTCCTCATACTGCCCAATAGGCAGGAGCGGGCCAGGTGTGCTTGGCAGATCTTGTCCATTGAGGCTCATCACTTCTCTGAGCTGAGTGTTTACATCCATTTCTCAGACAAGGAAGCTGAGGCTCAGAGGAGGTCAGTAAGTAAAGGTCAGGGGCCTCAGGGCTGGCAGAGGAGGATGCCCTAAATCAAACCCAGGCAGGTCTTTTCTGCCTCCTGCTGAGCTGTGAGCTCCCATGGGGCAAGTGAGCACAGGGCTGCCCTCTGCCCAGCCTCTCCTCACAGCAGCCAGTCCCCAGGTATAGGCATAGCCTTAGGCTCCTATAGCCCAGCCTCCCCATCTCTTCAGAGTCTCCTTTCTGCTCTGGGACTTGGGGCCAGATGGAAGGCACAGGAGGTCTGACACAGGTGCACACCAGCCTCTACCCTTGGGTCAAGGCTAGACTCCTTGTGCTTGCTCGCATTCACCTCAGCCTCATTTTCCATCTGTACAATGGACACAACCATCCGAGGCCACATTGTGCCCCGGGTGTCCCGGTTCCCATGGGTTTGTGGGAGGCAGCTCCCCTGGAGTTGGAAAGGGCAGCCCCCAGCTGCCCTCACCCCGTCTGCATGTGCCCCCAGGACTTCAGCCTGCTGTATGAGGAGGCACGGTATTATCAGCTGCAGCCCATGGTGCGAGAGCTGGAGCGCTGGCAGCAGGAGCAGGAACAGAGGCGCCGCAGCCGGGCCTGCGACTGCCTGGTGGTGCGGGTCACGCCCGACCTGGGAGAGAGGATCGCGCTCAGTGGCGAGAAGGCCCTCATTGAGGAGGTCTTTCCCGAGACTGGGGATGTCATGTGCAACTCTGTCAATGCCGGCTGGAACCAGGACCCCACACATGTCATCCGCTTCCCACTCAACGGCTACTGCCGGCTGAACTCCGTGCAGGTGAGGGCTGCACCCACCCCACTCACCTCACCCCTGCCTCCCCACAGCCACCGGCCGCAGGGATAGATGGAAGGAGGTGCCGTCCCTGACATGGTGAAGCCCTGTGCCATCTTACAGAAAAGGCAACAATGTGTCGATGCATAATTTATGTCCCGCTCATAATTAAATGATGGCGCCTGGGGGATGGACTTAAAAAAATTGATCTGTGCTTTTTTTTTCCAAAAGGATGTTCTATAAAAATGGCCCAGAGTATTTTCAACAAAGTGTGCTTTGTTTGACACCCAGAGTCTGAGTTTGGATTCAAATGAGACCCAGACAGTAGGAGCAGAGGCTGGGAGTGGAGGTGGCCTGCAGGCCCCATCCTCACACTGCCAGCCTGCGGCCAGGGCACCCGAACAGCTGTCCATAGCAGTTCTGGACTGGCCTTCTCCAGACGGGAATCCCAAGAGGGAGCGGGGCCTGTTTCCCCCCAGCTCCTCCAGTCCCAAGAGCAGACTCCTACCACAGGCTCAGGGCAGAGCGGCTTTGTGCCGGGAACGGGTCCCCACGCACATGTGCGGGCTGCCGGTCAGGACTTGCTGGTCGCGGGACACAGTTGTCACATGCAGTGACCAGACCACACTCTCCCGGAGGCACAAGCCCACGTGGGCAAGGAGGCCTGCAGAGACTCTGACACTGAGAGGACTGCCCCTCCTTGAGAGAACTGCCCCTCCTCCTCACTCCAAGCTCTCTTGAGCTGATGAGCCCTCAGGCCTCAAACCATCTGGGACTCAGAGCTCAGGGAAGCAGGTGGCTGCCCAGAGGCCAGGGGCAGGGTCTCTCTCTGTTACTGGGGCAGGCCTCAGTGAGGGAGGGAGGCCCTGAGGCTCTCCCTCCATCAGTCAAGGCTGCAAACTCCCAAAGCAGGGTGGGGCAATCCACCCAGGCTGGGCACTCCATGGGCCCCAGGCCCTGGCTGCGCTGTCTCTCCCGGGGGTGCCCAGCTGGTGGTTCTGCACGCACCTCCATCGTGAAGGAGACAGACTTTAACAAGAGAAGCTAACTTTCTCTGGCCTGTGCCCACCAGGCCAAACCAGGCAGGCACCTGCAGCTGGAGGTTGCTGACCCCTCTTTCTTCCCTGGCAGGTCCTGGAGAGGCTGTTCCAGAGGGGTTTCAGTGTGGCTGCATCCTGTGGGGGTGGTGTGGACTCCTCCCAGTTCAGCGAGTATGTGCTTTGCCGGGAGGAGCGGCGGCCACAGCCCACCCCCACCTCGGTCCGGATAAAGCAGGAGCCCTTGGACTAGGCCCTGCCTTAGTGCCCACCTGAGGACTCTTGGCCCTGGGTGCACCCCAGGGACCTGGAAACAGTACAGGGGAGTTCTGCCTATGCCTGCTTACCGGTGGGTGTGAGACTGACCATGTGGCTGGAGGGCCCGAAGCCAGCCCAGAGCCCAGGGCTCCAGGTATCTTGGCCTCAGAGTGTGGGATGCTGGAGGCATGCCCACTGATGGACTGTTGATGGGACCCAAAGATGCTGCAGTGGGCACAGTTCACCAGGCTCCTCGGCTCCCCATCCTGGCACAGTGTCCTGCAAGTCAGGGTCAGCGGAGGCCTCCCCGCCCACTCCAGAGGAGCTGTTCGTCCTTCTCCATGTGTGGCAGACTCCAGTGGGTCTCCTTGCGTCAGAGATGGCTTATTTTTCTACAGTATTTAAAACAGAAGTAACTAACTGCACAAGCCAGAGAGGCCGACAAGGACCAACGCTTCCTTTATCTGGTGCTTAGTCCTCAGCCGGATGTGCAGCTTGCCCGTGCGGTGGAAGAGCTGCGGGCACATGGGCCCAGGTGCCTGCAGAGCAGGGCCTGGAGACTTTGGGTCCCTGCTCTAGGAGTAGGAATGGTAGTGCCCTAGGGGCTGAAGCAGGTCCCCCAGGGGCGGGGCTGCTGAGAGGAGGGTGGTGACCGTGTGGGGGATGGGTGACTCTGGAACCATCTAAGACCCTCCCCTTTGCTCCCAGGCTATTCTTAGTGGGTCACCTGACCTACTAATGCCCAGGGCTTGCAGTTCTCTGATTGTACTTGCATTCAGGCTCCTGCAGTCTCTTCCCATCTGGACCAGCCTGGGGCCACACCACATCCTTACCTCAGGAACAGGCCCCATGGTGTAGGGACCCATCTGTTAGCAATGTCCTCTTGGTCACTAGCTCAGGAAGCCATCCCCAGCTCTGATTTTCCCACACTAATATGCACACTGAATTTTAATTAAGCTGTTGTTACACTAGCCTACCACTAAGAAACAGACCCAGGCATCCCTGGGGTTCGTGGCCCTGGATTCCAAGGAGGACTGGCCCCAAGGGGTCCTCTCAGATGACAGGCCCAAAGATGGACACCCCTGGCCTTGTCACACTCCCCAGCGCTGGTTCTTCCTGGCTGAGGAAGGGCAGAGAACTGCTTGGTGGCTGGGGCACCCTGGCTGGCACTGCCCTGTGTACCATGCCTGTAGACTTGTATATGACTCCTTTAATATTGTAAAGATGCTGATGTACAATTGTCATGTGTTTGTGTAAACACATTGCGATCCTAGTTCATGCCATAAATGATGCTATAAAGTAAAAAACTTGAGGCTCAGTCCTGTGCAGAAGTGGCCAGAGTCCCACACCCCGCATTGTGCATGGAGGTTTGCAGGTGGGATTCCTCCCTCTGTCCCTTCTACACAAACCAAGGTCAACTCACCATCAGCAGCTGGAGCAGGGGCAGGGCCCTGAGCTGGCCATTATTTACTGCATTTGGGTGTTTTCTCACTGTGTTCCTGTCCCCCCTGGGCAGCACAGATTCTGAACTCTGACTTACAGCCCCTAACCAGAGGCAAACCGGGAAAACAGACAAAAGGTGTCCAGGGGCTTTTGAACCCAGTCTTAAATGTTTGAGATTTTCCATCCTCTCTGGCTTTTTGGTTGAGGTTGATGTCCCCTTTAGAGCCCTACGGAGCAGAAGAAGGAGGCAGTCCACGCCTCAAGCTGGCTGGGGGACAACATGCAACCTGCAGCATGAATCCTCAATGCGTCTCTTTCCAAGGGAAGGAATCGGAATGCAGTTGTGTAGGCTTCCCGTTTTAATGAGTCTTTCTGTATTTTTCCTCAAAGCCCTTATGTTCTAACCCATGAAGACACTTTACATGCCCTGTAAGGGGCACCAGCCTCGACCTGCCTGGAGGCCAGGAGCACAGACCAGCGTCTTCCCATCTGAGGCCACAAAGCAGGCGCCATCCTACCGTACAATCTAATTTGCCAGACAGATTTGGTCAGCACCTCCTTCCCTTAGCAAGGCGCCCAGACCAGCACATCTGCATTTTGGCATCTGAGGCTCACATCCAAGAGGAGGAGAAATTGTGTTTATTAGAAAGGAAGTCTTGTGAAAACAGCTCAATGCTGTGTGTTTTTGAAATTTTCTGGTATGATAGTATGGTTACTGATGGTGGGTAGTCCCGAACATTTTCAAGCAAACTATCTTCTTGATTGTGCTAAAAAAAAAAAAAGAGTCACCACTGTACTGAATTAACATTAGTCTTAATTTATTTCTTTACTAATTAAGTAAAATCAGGAAGTACGATTTTACATGGGAACTTCCTGAATTTGTAGAGAAATACACTATATTCCCATAGTAATGCTCAAAGTCTGGTATATATAATCCCCACAAACAGTAAGCACAAATTACTGATGGCTTTCAAACATTTTTGTAGTGCCCGGACTGCTAGTGGTATAAGTGTTTCTTCTGTTGTTTGTAAGCCTCAAAACTGATTATTTTTTATAAACAACCAGACAGAAAGCTGTGCCAGCACTTCCCTGTTTTCCCCCCAAACCTCTGCCAGCACAGGGGAGAACCAGACAAAGTCCCAGCAGGTGGCTTCTGCCACTGTCCTGCTCACATGGGGGCTCAAAGCCAGGTCACAACACTAATAGTATCTTTTAAAAAGTGGTTCTTTTTGTTTTGTTTTTTTTAAGCTACCACTTGACTGTGTTCCTTAGAATAAAGGATATTTTATAAATTACATGCACACAGCTCCAGTGCTTTGTTTCTAATTCGCTGAGGCAGCCACAAGAAGGTACTCTGGCTTGGATGATTCTAGAGCCACCACTCCTCACACCTGAGACTTGGCATGGTCACAGAATAGGACCCTGAGTAGCCCAAGTCCCAAATACCGAACTGTCCTGCTCTAAGGAGCCCCAGGGAGGGCTGGGATCTGAGCAGCAGTGAGGTCCCCGGGCGCCCAGTGTGCACCAGGCAGGCAGCAACTGCCTTCACCTCTCCCAAACCCCAACCTGATTCCTGTACTCAGGGAACCTCAAGCCTTTTGCACTATATTGATTATGCATGTGTAAACCAAACCAGTACATTTGAAAAAGGGGCAGAGAAACACAGATGTGAAAAGTGGGAATGCAATCTCCATGGAGCCTCTGACCAAGGAAAGGCTAATTTGGTTGAAATTAGCAGAGCCTAATGAGCATGGGGCTGGAGGGCTGCCCTCTTTTCCACCCAGGAAGCAGACTTACGTTCTCTGGAAAGACGAACTGCCTACCAATATGGCCCCATCCCATCAGACTTTTTCCTGTCTCCTGACTCTCCAGAGATAGGAAAACAGCTCAGTGGCCCCGGAGGACACTCTAGGAGACACAGATTGGAGTTTCTCCTAAGTAGGTGACAAGGTGGGAAAAAAATGGGAGATGCCAGAGATGAGACCCTTGTTTCAGTCCAGTGGGGAGTTCTAGACAGAGTCGGCGGCACAACACTGGCCAGACAGGGCAGCTGCTGGCTTTGAGACTGACACCTGAGCTGATGTTGTTGTAAGGAATATGATGTCACAGTTTGATGGCCATAACTTCCACTGGTCTTAAGGTGGGTGGGCAAATGTTTTTAGCCACAAAACTCAAGGCTGGTACATAATTCTTGTCTTGTCTCAAATGTGATGAGAATGTAGCTGACTAACTACTTAACCAACCCCACCCAAAGGAGGCTGTTCCATGTAGACAGAAGCCTTGCCCCCATCCAGAGAGAGGGGTCTGTGAAGTAGTCCTCTGTGGGCCAAGAGAAAGAAAAAGGTATCGGGAGGGACAACTAAGGGTAGCTTCCTACCAGAAGCAAGACTAGCGGTGACGTTCTCTTAGAAGCATCAGTTTTCTAAGGTGACCCAAATGGAACCCAACCTCAAGGAGGGGTAACAACCAGGAAAGAAGGGCTGACTGGGGACTCTCTCTGGACCTCACGGCCTGAGTGAGTCCTCTGTCCTCGTAGGTCCAGGAGCATTTCTCTGTGAGCTTTCAATGGCAGCCCCTGGGAAACTTCCCACCCCACCCCTGTCCCCAGATGAGCTTGTTGGGGAACACTGGATGGCAGCTCTCTTCCCGAGCCCCAGAGCAGCCGAACGCGGCACTGGCTTGACCCGTGGTGAGCTCTTCAAACCTCAGCACTGTGGGCAGAGTGGGTACTGGGGATGTGTGAGCAGGGGATGCTGCCTGCTGGTCTGTTATTCACGGGAAAGAGGCCACCCACCTTCCAACCCCCAGCAGGAGGACATCAGGAAAGTGTCTATTTTAGGGTCATGTGACTCTGTCTTGAAGAGTGGGTTGATGCGGCTGCCAAGATTCTGGACACCAGTTAGCAAAAGGTTCCTGGCTCACTGCAGAGATCCTTACTTCCCAAGCTTCCAGTGAGCGCCGCTGACTGATGGCCAGCATGTGCTGGCCACTGCAGGTGCTTGGAGGACAAGACAGCCCACAATTCTAAGAGAAGACAGTTGTTTTCCACAAGAATTGTTTACTGAAGTTATCTGGAAGACAACTTTCCATGTTATGTTTCAAAGTTTGTCAGGACCTCAGACATGGAATTCTTTGATTTGCACCTGTCTGTCAGGCCTCAGTGCCAGCACCCCTACAGGCTTCTCTAGACCCTCCCCTTTGCTCCCAGGCTATTCTTAGTGGGTCACCTGACCTACTAATGCCCAGGGCTTGCAGTTCTCTGATTGTACTTGCATTCAGGCTCCTGCAGTCTCTTCCCATCTGGACCAGCCTGGGGCCACACCACATCCTTACCTCAGGAACAGGCCCCATGGTGTAGGGACCCATCTGTTAGCAATGTCCTCTTGGTCACTAGCTCAGGAAGCCATCCCCAGCTCTGATTTTCCCACACTAATATGCACACTGAATTTTAATTAAGCTGTTGTTACACTAGCCTACCACTAAGAAACAGACCCAGGCATCCCTGGGGTTCGTGGCCCTGGATTCCAAGGAGGACTGGCCCCAAGGGGTCCTCTCAGATGACAGGCCCAAAGATGGACACCCCTGGCCTTGTCACACTCCCCAGCGCTGGTTCTTCCTGGCTGAGGAAGGGCAGAGAACTGCTTGGTGGCTGGGGCACCCTGGCTGGCACTGCCCTGTGTACCATGCCTGTAGACTTGTATATGACTCCTTTAATATTGTAAAGATGCTGATGTACAATTGTCATGTGTTTGTGTAAACACATTGCGATCCTAGTTCATGCCATAAATGATGCTATAAAGTAAAAAACTTGAGGCTCAGTCCTGTGCAGAAGTGGCCAGAGTCCCACACCCCGCATTGTGCATGGAGGTTTGCAGGTGGGATTCCTCCCTCTGTCCCTTCTACACAAACCAAGGTCAACTCACCATCAGCAGCTGGAGCAGGGGCAGGGCCCTGAGCTGGCCATTATTTACTGCATTTGGGTGTTTTCTCACTGTGTTCCTGTCCCCCCTGGGCAGCACAGATTCTGAACTCTGACTTACAGCCCCTAACCAGAGGCAAACCGGGAAAACAGACAAAAGGTGTCCAGGGGCTTTTGAACCCAGTCTTAAATGTTTGAGATTTTCCATCCTCTCTGGCTTTTTGGTTGAGGTTGATGTCCCCTTTAGAGCCCTACGGAGCAGAAGAAGGAGGCAGTCCACGCCTCAAGCTGGCTGGGGGACAACATGCAACCTGCAGCATGAATCCTCAATGCGTCTCTTTCCAAGGGAAGGAATCGGAATGCAGTTGTGTAGGCTTCCCGTTTTAATGAGTCTTTCTGTATTTTTCCTCAAAGCCCTTATGTTCTAACCCATGAAGACACTTTACATGCCCTGTAAGGGGCACCAGCCTCGACCTGCCTGGAGGCCAGGAGCACAGACCAGCGTCTTCCCATCTGAGGCCACAAAGCAGGCGCCATCCTACCGTACAATCTAATTTGCCAGACAGATTTGGTCAGCACCTCCTTCCCTTAGCAAGGCGCCCAGACCAGCACATCTGCATTTTGGCATCTGAGGCTCACATCCAAGAGGAGGAGAAATTGTGTTTATTAGAAAGGAAGTCTTGTGAAAACAGCTCAATGCTGTGTGTTTTTGAAATTTTCTGGTATGATAGTATGGTTACTGATGGTGGATAGTCCCGAACATTTTCAAGCAAACTATCTTCTTGATTGTGCTAAAAAAAAAAAAAGAGTCACCACTGTACTGAATTAACATTAGTCTTAATTTATTTCTTTACTAATTAAGTAAAATCAGGAAGTACGATTTTACATGGGAACTTCCTGAATTTGTAGAGAAATACACTATATTCCCATAGTAATGCTCAAAGTCTGGTATATATAATCCCCACAAACAGTAAGCACAAATTACTGATGGCTTTCAAACATTTTTGTAGTGCCCGGACTACTAGTGGTATAAGTGTTTCTTCTGTTGTTTGTAAGCCTCAAAACTGATTATTTTTTATAAACAACCAGACAGAAAGCTGTGCCAGCACTTCCCTGTTTTCCCCCCAAACCTCTGCCAGCACAGGGGAGAACCAGACAAAGTCCCAGCAGGTGGCTTCTGCCACTGTCCTGCTCACATGGGGGCTCAAAGCCAGGTCACAACACTAATAGTATCTTTTAAAAAGTGGTTCTTTTTGTTTTGTTTTTTTTAAGCTACCACTTGACTGTGTTCCTTAGAATAAAGGATATTTTATAAATTACATGCACACAGCTCCAGTGCTTTGTTTCTAATTCGCTGAGGCAGCCACAAGAAGGTACTCTGGCTTGGATGATTCTAGAGCCACCACTCCTCACACCTGAGACTTGGCATGGTCACAGAATAGGACCCTGAGTAGCCCAAGTCCCAAATACCGAACTGTCCTGCTCTAAGGAGCCGCAGGGAGGGCTGGGATCTGAGCAGCAGTGAGGTCCCCGGGCGCCCAGTGTGCACCAGGCAGGCAGCAACTGCCTTCACCTCTCCCAAACCCCAACCTGATTCCTGTACTCAGGGAACCTCAAGCCTTTTGCACTATATTGATTATGCATGTGTAAACCAAACCAGTACATTTGAAAAAGGGGCAGAGAAACACAGATGTGAAAAGTGGGAATGCAATCTCCATGGAGCCTCTGACCAAGGAAAGGCTAATTTGGTTGAAATTAGCAGAGCCTAATGAGCATGGGGCTGGAGGGCTGCCCTCTTTTCCACCCAGGAAGCAGACTTACGTTCTCTGGAAAGACGAACTGCCTACCAATATGGCCCCATCCCATCAGACTTTTTCCTGTCTCCTGACTCTCCAGAGATAGGAAAACAGCTCAGTGGCCCCGGAGGACACTCTAGGAGACACAGATTGGAGTTTCTCCTAAGTAGGTGACAAGGTGGGAAAAAAATGGGAGATGCCAGAGATGAGACCCTTGTTTCAGTCCAGTGGGGAGTTCTAGACAGAGTCGGCGGCACAACACTGGCCAGACAGGGCAGCTG